CCACCCCCCCCCCCCCCCCACACACACACACATAACATACACATGCACCATAGTGTGGTGTACACCATGCACATGCGCTAGAGTGTGTTGTTAGAACATATCGCAGTGCATGGCAAAGCTTTGTGATGCATTGCCGTGCGTTGTGATACACTGTGTTGCAATTAAATATACGCCAGTATCATTTTATAAAAACACAAGCACCAACACAGCGCAAAAACGATTTTTAACACAAAACGCTTATTTACAGTTTAGCGTTTCTTAATTTTTTTTACCGTTTCGCAAAAAAGCGCAATTTAAAATGTACAAATATTTGTTATTAACTCAACACAGTTTTATGTATTGGATTTAGTCCGAAAATTATTATTTTTTTGTGCACTGATACTGATTTTAGTGTGCTTTATCAATTGAATTGTGTATTTTTATCGGTTTAATATTGATTTGATAAACATTTGCGCAATTATCTCAGGGCTTACAAATTTAGTGGTGAATCAGTTTTTATTGGCATTTTCACAAGATTCACACAATTCGGTTTAAAAAACAAAACATGAGAAGTTTGGCAATGTAACACACAGAAGCGTACATTTCACTGAAATGAGCCGAAATTGACAACTTGAGACAATCAGCATAGTCTCTAATAGAAGCCTAAACAGTTTGTGTAGATCTGAAGTCCAGATGGGGCGATAAAAGAAACAGTGAGGATGCAGATTTCCGTGTTATCGGATCAGGCACAGTATCACGGTACATCTCAGCCTTTGGCTATCAGAAAATAGAAAAAGGCATAACATCGGCTCCATCGCTAATTAGGTTCTGCGAAATAATCGCGTGAATCTCTAGGCATTGTAGGTAGAACAGACATAGGTTAACGAGCAGGAAAGGAAAGAGTAGTGTGAGAGAGGTATGGGGGAGAGGTACGGAGGGCTAGGCACATGTCCCCATCTAACAGGCTACATAGTAAGTAAAATCTGCGCATAGCTACCAGGGTGATGTAGTTCAGAGGAAGGACTGAAGATCTGAGGAGGAACATCCAACCACTCCATCGCCAGTAGCTCCTCCATACGCATTATGTAATTTACATGGCTTACCCATATGGATATGGGAGAAAGTGTCTCAGCAGTTTGCTTTTTTGGGACTTACAGGACCCAGGTAAGAGCGACAGCTAGGCTACAGCTGGTGAGGGTGATAATGTGTCCCCGTATAAGTGGTTCTAGATCTCAAAAACGGTCTGCCAAAAAGAAGAAATTCTAGGGCATGTCCACCACATATGTAGGTATGTGCCACTCACCTCATTACATCTCATAGTTACATAGTATTTGAGGTTGAATAAAGACATTAGTCCATCAAGTCCAACCGATTAGGATCTCATTCTAGGAGTACCTATACCCCTGTATATTACGGTCCCTTAGGAAATCGTCCAAAAGTTTCTTGAACAATTCCACATTCTTTGCTGAAATCACCGCCATATGGGCGAGTCACCTGCTATCAAGTTTACATATCGACAAAAGTAGGGGGAGAGGAGGTCTTGAAAGTGTTTAAAGTATAAAAGTGGGAAGCCATCTGGTCCAGGGCTTTTGCCTAATGGGGTTGATTTAATAGCTAATTTAAATTCTTCGGATGTGATTGGTGTGTCTAGGGACTGTAATAATTGGGCGTCTAGGGAGGGCAAACCCGCGTTATTCAGATAGGTGGCGATTTTGGAAATGAGATCAGGCGGTGGGGGGGATGCTGGGTCAGATCGTACTTTGTAAAGCTCTTGGTAGTATTCTTGGAAGGCTATGTCTATGTCAGCTGTGAGGTGGGCCATTTTAATTTTTGGGACATAGGTGGCAGTGCGTTTGGACCTC